GGGGACCTATCATACATCCAACCATAACCTTTTTCAAACAAACTGGAAGTTACCCGTGGACATGACAGGCCCATGCATGCTTATTTACTAATAACAAAGTTCTTTTTACTGTTTTGTTAATATTAATGCCACATTATTATAATTAGTATTATTCATATTACTATTGTTTTAATCTTTCTCTATCCTTTATTTCATTAAAATTAATAATTTTTTATTTTTTATTTTAAGTTACACTAGAATGTACCAACTTTCTTCTATTTAAAGACTTACTCTACTCGCATAGATCACATATCTGCTTTGGCGATAAGAACGCACCATATTTTTACAGATAATTACCAAGACATAGCAAAAGCAGAAGAAAGAAAAAAAAGCCTAATTAGAGGAAGTTACTGCTTACCAAGTCCCAATAAAGGTCCTCCAACTGGTATGCGAAATTAATCGTTAGTTAATATATACTATATAATTAATTTCCTCATCTCTGGATCTATTCTTCATTATCTTTTAGCTGTTTGGAATTGCTCAAGTATTGTGAGTGTGAGTGATTCGACCCGATTGTCCTCTCTTTAATTTATCCACCGCTGGACCTTTCAGCGAGATTTTTTATCAGTAAGATTTTGGTTTGGTTTGGTTTGGTTTGGTTTGTCAAGATTTCCATTGATCCATCAAGGCAAGGGTTATTCTAGTTCTAGTTCTCTATTTTGGAATGCAATCAACTTTAAGTGTAAACTCGTTTTGAAATTAAATGACTACTTTAAGCTCCGTTTAGTAATAGTTTGGTTTTTGAATTTTATATATTTAGCAATTAATACTACATTTAGATTAAATCAAATCTTGTAATTTTTATAAAAAAATTTGATTTGCAAGTATAGTAGTACTTACAAAGCATTAAAAAAAATGAAAACTAAAAACCAAAACCAAAACCAAAAACTATATATATATATAAAGGAGAGATCTACTTATCTATTATACTTACATAAAATTTTGACTAATTCATCTATTAATTTCAATGGTTGAGATTTATCACGATTTTTAAGATGAAAAAAAAATTATCTTTAATAAATGTGAATAAATCTCAACCATTAAAAGTGGAAAGATAAATTATTGAAATTTTGTATAAATGCAATGTATAAAATTTGTATGTAAGTAAATCTCTCCTTATATATATATATATATATATATATATAAGGAGGGATTCACTCATATAAGCTTTATATATCATATTTATATAAAATCTTAACCAATCATCTCTCCATTTTCAATAGTTGAGATTTGTCCTTTTTTTTTAATCATATCTATTAAAGAAAACTATTTTTTTTATCTAAAAAGTCATGATAAATATGATAAAAAAAAAAATAAATCTCAACTATTGAAAATGGAGAGATAAATGGTTAAGATTTTGTGTAAATATGATATGTAAGATTTGTACATAAGTGGATTTTACCTAACTAACTAACTAACTATATATATATATATATATTATGTTGCATTGCACAATGGACGCAATATTTTCTCATCTCTTAACCCACCTAACATGTACATCATGCGAATTTAAGTCAGGACCCCTTCAAAGAGAAGAAGATTACTACTAAACTATTTAGATCATTGGCAAAACCAAAACTATATTAAACAACGCCTTAGTTAATAAAATGGACAATGATCTATACACCTACAAAGTTACACA